CAATTTTCTTGCGGCCTACCCAAGCCGACAAAGGAGTCCCGCGGCGAGCGCGGGCAGCGTGTATAAGTTTTCGCTCGTTGAATCCGAAAGCGAGTAATTTGGGGTTCGCTTGCTTGAGAGTTCCAGGTGATTTGGCTTCATGCCAATCGAGATTCCGCTGTTCTTCCCTTTCGTCCCCGGCCGTTTCGTTGTTTTCCTTCGCTTTGCCGCGAGATCAAGTATTTTCCCCGCGAAGCCGCGGTTGCTGTGGATATAGCACCTACTTTAAGTGGAAAAGGGATAGCAGCCCGATGACTGATGTACGGTAAGTACCGTATCGTACTTTTTATTCCACTTGCTGTGGCGTAATTCAATTTTCTCGGCACTACCCATCGGAAAGTATGCAGGAAAGCCGTTCTCTTGAATAGAAAAACAAGGTATGAGGCTTCGAGCCCTTAACCATTGAAAAAATTTCTATCGTTTGCACAACATTCCACGCCGAATATATCTTTCATTACCAAGCAACTACCAATGTCGTACCAATGTAAAGTAAAACATCGGAATGCCAGTGTCAAGGACTGTCGATTTCATATGTAGCTCGTTAAGAGGATTATGTTACATCGATCGCGTCGGCAATTTTGCAATATGGGAAGAAAATAGCCTAGACACTGAAAAAAACATACGTATGTACGCAGCCCAAGCTATTTCTTGGTAATCCTCGCGACAGACTAATTAGGCAGGCGTGCAAAATACGCCGCTGAGCTCATTGTTGCCCGCGTCGCACGCGACGAACTTGGAAAAGCTCGATCGTATCGCGCGATCGCTCAATTGACCGAATTGTACTTTCGACGAATCTAAAAGAACAAAAAAACAAAAGGCGAGGTTCTCGAAACGTCCATCCTCGACATCGAAGAAATGCGCGGAGGTCCCTAGCAACGAGTGCGCACATTCTGCCAAGTGCTCGAATAAAAACACACGAGATTACAGAAAGCAGGAGGGAGGTAATAAGTCGCTTGCTCGAGCGCAGAAGCCAAGGCGCGTGTCATGTATCCGGTGTCGTCCTTAGCACAGTTGCGCACGACGACAAGGAGAAAAGAGATGCATCGATAGACTCTCTGCAAAGGTTCCCGCTTTATTTATCAAATGGCTTTTTCATCTTCGTCGTCGGTTCGTGCGGCAGGAGCACGGGCAAAATCTAGTTCAGGGTTGACGAGGAAAGAGAAAGTGTTTCTGCGCTTCAGCCCTCCACGGTGTGCTTAGACAGACATGAGGACGCGGGCCATGCGTTCACTGTGTGTGATAAAAAGTTTTCCCTTGGTATACCTTACAACAATATTTGCACACGCGTCGTCGTCGTGTTTGTCGATAATATGGAATCGCGAGGTTATTATTATGTGGCGCAAGGTCGACGTATATAACTATCGGTCTAATGAAGCACCTTTGGCTTTTATGCGCTTCCGATCCATATACGTTCTTTGATTGAGCTCGTGTCGCGCGTTCGCTGTCTTGAGATCGAACCGAGTGGAATGAATAATGTTTGTCACGACATTCGTTCCTATCTCGCTCGTGATTGCAAGAATTTCGAATGTAATAATACTGAACATTGGAGGGCAATCCACGCGAAAAGTCGGAAGGTTCTTCGGTGAATGACGAGCAATTTTTATCACGCATAAATTACCGTGCGATTATTTGCCGTCACGAGAGAAAGCGTCGCGAAAGCCCAAGGTTCGATATCGCAGATATCAAAAGATTGTATTTGCACGCATCTCCCGCGCAAGTGCGTAATATTCATCAAGCGAACGCCTTGCTTCCCGTCGCGATGTTTCTTCTTCATGCTCGCAAATGAGGAGACCTTTTTAAAAAAACCAGGATGAGGTATACCATTCATCTCCGTTGAAACGAGCTTCGTGCGCAACATCCTGACTAACGAGCCACTGCAGCACAGTGCGGGCCCGATTAACAAGTTCTCTCTCTCTCTCTCTCTCTCTCTTTCTGTCCATAATTTAGTACGCAGAAATGCAGAAGAAGATACAAAATAAAGAATCAAGACACACTACATCGCCCCACAAAGTTATCCCTAGTGCAATAATTCATACGCTCCACGTGGCCTACGATTAATCTCTCTCCTCGACTCTCTTGAGAATAATTCAGGTAATTCGCGTCCCTGGCGTAATTGCCGTGCTAGAGCAAGAATTGGTCGGCCGTCGTCGTGGCCAAGAATCGTGCACTCGAGCGACTGAAAAACTGGGAGCGCGTAAAAAACAATCGCCGTTGAGGATTGCGCGAGTGAATAAAGCGATGCGCGTCGATTTCGCGAATCGGGCGAACGGACTTAACGCCTTGTCAATTTATTCATCGGAAAGGGCATAAACTGTGCCTTACCATCTATTTATAGCTCAAACAGTATTTCTTGTACTTGAATGAAAACACTGGAATATAGCTCGCAGTAAACATCTTGTCGGCATGCGCATAAGAAAGCATTTGATCACTCGGCTAACTTTGACCTTCCACGGGCTTATAATCGACCAATGCGCGACTATTATGAAAGCAAACTTGATATCGGCGTGCGCTCTCGGAATAGCATCGAGCCAACAGAATCGAAATCAATTGCCAAGTACGTAAGCTCGCGGATGCTTTCTCCGCTATGTGCACCTCGTGTGCAGACACTGCATTTAACATGCTAAGGGGGGTGCAGTGAGCTCGATCCTGTGGTATGTGTGCATCTGTTATTAGCACACTTGCCATGACCTACATCCCCCCTGCCGTCTTCGTTGCTGTCGTCGTCGTCGTTGCTCAGGAATTCCCATGAATGATAGCCTAAGTAAACACATCTGGCCGATCATTTGCTTAATCGAGCGTTAATTAACGCGCTTTCGTGAAAGTCGTCGTCGTCTCTCTGAGAGAATGTCGGTCAGGGTAGATGTGCGTGTATATATATATATCCGATGAAAAAAGGGACGGAATAAAGGAGGACAATCCAATTACCTTCTGCGATTTTTCGGCTCAGGCCTACAACTGTGAGAGGCGTTAATTGAGTTTCCCTTTTTTTTCTGCTTCCTCGTTTCTGTAACTGCGAACGCGAAAGAATTTTTTTCATCCTCTCCCCCACTTCTTACACGCCCTGCTGGATTTTTCGTTGATCAATGTGCATAAGTGATGTTATTTTCGTTGCACGTTAATAACGGCTTTCAAATTGCTTACGGGATGTCGAGCGCAAATTTCCATTACTGAGGGCCATGTAAATACGAGCGCGGTACGTACTCAACAGGTAGCTCGCAGAACAGAGTGCTTTTTGCATTAAATGCGTCCGATTTTTCAATTTGTAAAATGACGAAGCATTGTTTCAATTTATTTCACTCCGAAGACGCATTTGTTTATTTCCATCGTAAGCCGATGATCGTGGGATGAAGGTTGATTTCCGTTTTTACACGATTCCTTTGTGATGTTTCACATGAGAGATAGCGTGAGCTGTTATTATTAAATTAGACATTATATTACGATCGATTTACAGAGTTAAGCCAGCCATGAAATTGATATTCTTAATTTTAAATTAATTCTATGTATAATAAAAAGAATGACTTTTAAAAGTAGAAATTTCGACAACTTTCATTTGTTGCTCTGCTTCATTTATACAATGAATTTTTTCACTTTAAAATTATTACGTTAAAGTAGGTCAACATTACTCTGCATGGATTATTCTTCAAGTTTTGTTTAGATAGAAATAAAAGCCCGTGCCTTTTTTTATGAATATTATATAAACTTGCCTACTACGAAACGATGCACATTTAAATAATTATTTTTAGAAAGTTCTTAATAGTAAATAATAATAATAAAATATAATGAAACAGTACATGTTCTGCGAATAATTACGTAAAAATGGATGAGAAAAGAATACATTTACTGGCAATCGAAAATAAAAGCTTTATTGTATTAGTAAAATGTAAAAAGGAAAAAAACTATTATTTATTGCACTCTTCATGTTTAGTTGTTAGTTAAGTCAAAGATTGGAAGAGTCAACCCTTCGTATTTGCTGGTAAAAAGGCCAACAATTAAAACCACATCTCTTATCGAGAAGAGAAATACCAGCAAATACGAAGGGTTGACTCTTCCAATCTTGGACTTAACTAACAACAGGAAAAAAACTACTTTGATCGATTATATCAATCTGAAAAGAGATCACTCATTACTGCAGCATTATTCTATTATTAAGAGAATTTAATTTTATCTTCTTGACTGTGTTCTAAATATATCGGCTTGGAAATAATCACATAATTCAACCGCTTAGCTTTAGAAAGTCATGGGCTGTTGTTTACTTCAGACAAGAAAGCTCTTATGGCCTTTACGGAACTTGTTATAAGAAATTTCTTTTGCAAGATCATACAAGTTTCTCTTTGGATAAAGTTTTCTTAGAGTGGATCTCAGAGAAAATCTATATAACATAAAAAATAATAATAATAACTCTAAATGTCTATTTAAAAAAAGAAAAAGTAAAACATTCTTATCGCACGAAAAATGAAATAAAAATAACAGCTCTAAATGTTGATCGCAAAATAAAAAACATCTGCTTTTCGGTGTAGCGAAGTCATCGTTGAACTTCACTGAGCTGAGAGAATGTTGCGATAACATTTTCCTATCGATATAAAGTTTTTAATTTTAAATAGTCTTGAACAAATTTAAAATTGCACCTTCCTTAGTTGAATTTGAGCTTGCTATTTAAACGGTGATGAGCGTTCTTGTATCGCAGAAAATGATTATTAAATTAATTACACTTCAGACCGTGCGTTGATGAATGGAATGCATATTGGCGTCTACTAGATGCAGACGTGAGTACACGTTTTCCCCAGAATAGTTACAATTGAAATATTTTTAAAGAATAAAAATATCAAGAAATTTCTTTAAATTTCAGTATTCAAGTGAGTATTTTTTTTTTGTTCCAAGCTGATCCATTTGATTCATAATAAATATGAAATGCTTTATTATATCTCAGATAACGTTAAAATTTTGAAATTTAGATTGCTTACCTCGAAATGTGATTATGTAACCCAACCCAATGAACCTCGAATCGTTGTGTCGTAATTCTGAAATAAAACAGAATAGTAGGTTAATTATTAATTTATAATACATTTGTTCCACTGAATCTTACGCAAGACTGTCGATAAGTTTCTTTTTTATAATTTTTTCCATTTTTGTAGAATTAATTTTTTTACTTCAAACATCAATATCAATGATTTTCTTAATACGCGTTCGTAATAACGCTCAAATTAAATAATAACAGAAAAATTTTAAGTATTCGACGAAAATTATCCAGTTAAAAGTACTTTTGGAATTGCTTGACTATATTTAGATTTTCCGATAGATTATCCTATCGTTTCATTGTATTTATATTGAACTGCCCAGGAAAAGTTACTCAAAGTTCTTCCACATATTCATTCGTCGTAATAAGATAAAAATTAATCTTATTAATTACAAAATGAATCACGACTACGACTATCCTCAATTTCATGGGTGACAAGGGCTTAAGATGATAATGAGCATATTAATGGCATGTTAACACACCCTTGTCAATTCGTTACCTGCGAAAAATCCGAATTTCGTTGTCATACAACTCAAATTGTCTGATAGTTTAAGTTTCCAAGTATCTAACTTCTTGCTGACGTATTTCGCTTTAACTCTTATCATTTCCTTGTGTTCGTTTGCTATTTCTAGCCCTCATTATCGACTTTACATTTAGAAAATGCGATATTTTTCTCACGAAGTATGTTAATAGCTTACATATAAATTTTCGTAAATTTTATTCTAGAGTTCAACAGATTCCTTTTTGATTAGATTATGAACTACTATAATAAGATTTATGCTTTGCGATAGTTTTCTTCGCTGAGCACATTTAAGATTTGTCGGGAAATTCAATCACAAAACAAGCGGAGAAAGTTTCCAAGCTGAGTAAGTTTCGTTGACATCAATTTAAGATCTGTAGTTTTGTATAAATTTTATCCTCTCTAAGCTAACATTTTTTTATTATCCTATCTTATAAAAAAATAATGTAAATTAAAAAATAACGACGAGATTATTTATTTAGATTAGATATGTTTTGTAGATTGAGAAATTATAGTCATGTCGATCAAGTGGAATATATCACGATATAGTCAGGCCGGTCATGAATAAGATGTAATAAGTAATAACATTTTTACAAAAGATATTTATTGAAACTATTTATTTATATTATTGTTAAAAATGGAATAAGCTAATTTTTATGCTTAGTTCCTTAATACTAATGTACAAAATTAAAATAAGTTTAATGTTAGATATTAATGGTACATATTAATGTTTAGTATTAATTTCCTTATCTGCATAAACAGAAGTATCAAAATTCTATGGCAAAATGTAATCATATAATATAAACCGCCAACTTTTAACGATCGAATGTTAAATTTTGAGCTGCTGACTTTGACGCTGACGGAAACTGATTTTTTATCACGACGAACCTTGTCGTATATTAAAATGTATCGTCTATATGCATCAAAGTAGCGAGTGATGTGATTATGATGCGAATACGTCATCGTGACTTCGTGGAAGAAGCTAGACAGTTCATACTTATCATCGTTAATTAAAGCATATGTTTCAAAATTATGACTAATGTACAAAATTGCCAGCTCAATACCATCTATAATTTTGAAAGCATCACAGTGTAAAACTAAAATTTCTAACGACCTCCAATGCAAATGAAAATAGAAATAATAATTTTTGAATATCTAAACTTATCTAATTCTTCTGAAAAGCTACAAGTTATTTATAAGCATCAAATTGTCAAATTTATTTTAGTTTTTTAAATGCTGCCAAAATGCGTTGATCACATATAATTGTCGGAATTTGATGAGCGAATCCCGTACATAGGCCCTCATCATTCTCGACCACGCTTCAATGCTGTAGTTATCCATGCTGTGACGGAAAAATATCGAATTCCCAAGGGAAAATTCAAAGTAACCAATTTCTCAATTATACAACCCGTGCCGTGCTGAGAGGTCATGAGTCCTCGAAAGCAGTGGTACAATTTAGAGATCGAGCTTTAAAAATTCGGGAATTTTCGAAACCTGTAATAGATGATTTTATAAACTCGGCGACTTCCGAGAGCCGCAGGGCTAGTATTTTTGCACAAAGTATTATTAGAAGCATTGAACTTGGATCTTTTCAATCAGATAATACTTAAAGCAGTGCTCTTCCAGCATCCGACTTTGATACTTGTACACGTAGAAGTACAAGAGCGTGCGTATTAAATGTCAGCAGATTAGCAGACATCGATGAGAGCTGACGTTTTCTTTTGAACAAGTGTCGAATGAAGACGGCTAGAGAGAGAGGCCACAAAGGAAGATCTCTCAAAGCACGACATAATTGGATTTTCACCTTCCACCATTTCCTACTTGGAATAAACCTGTCGATTAAATTTTCAAAGTAGCTTATATAATTTCATTTCTTGGCATAATTTTATTTGGTATATTCGAGCAATAAAATTTTGAGTTTGATTTTAGAGTATACCAATAATTTTTTATGAAGTTAAACAAATATAAAAAGGCAGAAGTAAGTATCTCTTTTTAGCTACATAGTATATCTGGATAAAATTATTCGAGTCGTTCGTTGAAACTAAAGAATTTAAATGCAAGTTCATTTGTACTTTTTATTGCAAAGCTATAATTTGATGGGAAATACGCATTACAAATTCTGCGTCTCTTTAACAGCCTGTTTCACGTTTACATTCAAGTAAATCAGTTCAGTATTGATAACACGATTAGTAATATAGTAAATTATTAAATTCTTTTCAATTAAGATTTCCATTAAAAATCTTTATTTTTAGCTACCAGCTCAAATAACGTTTGAAAATCAGCATCATTTGATAAGCATAATCTGCTCAGTAATTTATTATCTCAAAAGTCATAGAGAAACTCTCTTGCTCTTTCGAAATCTAAAGCTGAATTTGTAAAAAAGGCGATATAAAGTAAGTACTATTCAGTCAAGTAATTAAATAAGAAAAGTTATCTGAGGCGAGTGTCAGAGCATATGTTCGGATGGTTCGATGCTAAAATTATTGCAGCTTCCGAGAATCACCTCATTTATAATTTTAGCCTTAAAAGGATATAACTGCAAATGAAATGGAATCTTTCAGCGGAGTATACGCAATTGAGAGATTCAGAACCATACAGTTAATTTCAAAGCACGTACGTACAAAATTGAATCACGACGTCGTAGCTACCCCCCATAAAAGCAGCCCACGGTGCGTCAGAAAGTGCGCTCGAGCGGCCAGGGAGCTACTCACGTAGGTACGTAGACTGTGCGGGTAAAGCTGAAATGTGGGTCACAGCGTTCGTTCCCGGTATCGGGGTCATCGAGCATCAAGCATCGCCTCTTTTCTGGCCCCCCATGTATGCGTATACGTTGCCCTTTCCATCATCAGCTATTTATTTCCCTTTGAGGTCTGTACCGCCATCTCGTCATAACACTACGATTCACTGGCCCTCTCCTGGCAAGGATTTCTGCGTAAATTATACCACCTCGAGAAAATTGACCGCCAAATCAATTTTTTTCCGTGGCAATGTTGTTCTTTCTGTTACTCTTCTGAATACTGTATAGATGATTGACTGTAGATTTATTTTTAGACTTTGTTTGTACTCTGAGCAGTTATGGTGGTATTGATAAATTATATTTTCGAGTATTATTTCATTCGATCACTACTGAAATACTGGACTCTTTAATAAAACAACTTAATAAAGAAAATCAATAGTCGACAAGAGTAAAAATATCAAACCTAGTGTGAAATTGGACTTGCCGAGATATATAGCTCAAGACAAAAAAAGGCAAAGGTGCGAAGAAACGCAATCCTGGTAACCGTATAGATTATGAGGCAAACGCAGACAGAGCGGCATGTCAATTTCAGGAATTTTCGACGAAGGAAAATGGAAAATTATGAGTATCGACGGTCCAATTCACATACCGCATACTTTGTTTTCTCTTTCTCTCTGTATGCGTATGCGTGTGTTTTTTTTCCTTTTGATCCTTATTTTTTTTTAGATATAACAGAAATAGGAGAAGAATAAATAAAAAATGTATGCATATGTTCCTTTACGTTAAATATGTTTTTCACAATAGAAGATATTGTGATGGACAACGTCTTTCATTATTATCTTAAAACATAATGCAGCCCTGAAATTTTTCAATAAGATAATATGGATTGAAATTATGAAGAGGCAGAAGTTTTCAGCCATTGGAAATAAATCATTCCAATCGTCGGAGTAAATCAAGCGATAACCCCGATCGACATTCAAAACTATCGAATTCATCTATCGACATAGACGAGAAGAACGGGAAGAACGCGAAGAGAAAAGGAGAATTACCGGCAGATTGTTATTATACTCGCACCAGCAATTTAAAGAATTAGCACGCTGTAAAAGAGGGAAGACACAACAGTCGTCGACTCGTCGAGGGAAAAGCACGCGCGGATAATTACCGAAGCGACTTCTCTTGCGACCAAGCGTTTTATTTGAATTTCACCGGTTGACGCAGGTTTCTCTTGGTGTATACCTTTAATTACGTCGCGGGGAATTCAAGCTGTCACGTGGATCTTTTCTTCTTTCGTTGAACGCCCTAATTAGAGTATTAAAAGGGTAAACACTGAATTATGTTTTTCTTGTGTATGTCTGACAACCTCTTCGATGCTACGTTCTTAACTCGTATGATGTATTACGTTCTTTCGCTTGTTTATTTGGTCCTGGCGTTTAGATAATTAGACAATATTTTAGAGCTCTACGCTGACAACCAGCTTTCACGGAATGTTATTTTACACAAGTTTACACGAACGTTTTACGATCCGTGTATCAGAGCTTCGCTCGTCCCGTTATATGAATAATAAATTGAAGTCTCTTGTGGATACTTTCTCCAGATAGCCGAGTGATCTAGTACTTAAGGCTAATATCAAAGCTGAGTGATAAGAGTGATGAATTTCGATATTACTATTTTTCACAAAAGAGATAAAAAGAATTTCTTTCGGCCAAACATTGTTAATCGAATGAAACGAATTTTGTTAAAAAATGCG